CTTGTCCTGTAACCTCTTTTTCCGCCAGTCCAAGAACCTTCTTCGCACCCTGTTTGCCTGCCAGCCGGCGATAAAACCAGCCGCAAACGAAACGACTATAGCGACCTGTAACGTCCTCTCCGACACATCGGCCATGTTCACCTCCGTTCGGCCACAGCTCTTCTTCTTCTTCTTCTTTTAGGTTTAAAGGCGGTTGGCAACTCATCTCAAAAAAGGTGGATTACCGCCACCTACTAGACTGGAGTGTGGGCATTAGACTGACATCAAATGAGTGGAGAGGGAAGAGAGAAAAAAAATTACCTATTAAATTCTTTCACTTAACTCAGTGTTTTTCAAAAATAACATTAATAAATTGCGTATTCTCCCAGGTCAAAGGAGTGGAGAGAGAAGAGAGAGAAAAATTCCCTATTAAATTCTTTCACTTAACTCAGTGTTTTTCAAAAATATAAAATTAATAAATTGCGTATTCTCCCAGATGTTTTCCCTAATAAATGCTCAAGTGTCATGCTTTGTTCATCCATTTGTGCCTTTAATTCTGCCCTATCTTCTTCATATTTTTTGCAGTCTAACAGTATATGCTTCACTGTCTCTTGTACATTACAATAAGTGCATACTCCAGTGGGATGTTTTCCTATTCTGTGCAATGCTGTCTTTAAACCAGTGTGCCCCATTCTAAGACGTGAGACTAACATCTCCTCCCTTGGGCTTCTGCCCTTCCTCGTGCTTGTGACTACTTGATTTTGTATACTGTATAAATGACGTCCTGTATCCGCTGTGTTCCAATATTCCTGCCATATTTTAAGTGAATGTTGCTCGGCCACAGCTGGCTGGCTGCGTGAATAGAAGTCGCTTCACGTGACTTGGGCGTAACCGGCTGCGCCGCCGTGACGTCAATTTGTAGGCCAACTGAATAAAGACTACATCTACCACATTTATTTACTACATTAATTTACTTGTTTGACAACCGTAGACCTTGTTTAGAAACGTGTTGAGAAAACACAGCTGCTGCAAAACTCGCGTTTCAGTTAACTGTGCGCCATTTATGTTGTAAAACAAAATGTGAAAGTCTCTTCAAGTAGCCTAATGTTAACAATAGACTTTATAAACCGAAATCCATTTTTATCCACACACTGAAAATTCCACAGGAAAGCAAAATGCTAATTCTCTTCAGGTTCTAGGACTACAATGAAATATTGAGTCATTTAAGTCGATAGCCTATGTGTAAAAGTTGAATTTGTTCAGTTAGGAAGGGCACGTTTTATCATTCATTCTGTCTGTGCCTTTACCTTCTTTGAGAAAAAGAGATAAGAAGACATGGCTAGTATAGGGTGGACTGCAAAAGTGGGACAGTTTTGTGATGGAGAGCTGCCAAAAGTTTAATGTCTTCATTCTTTGTGTACTTTGTAATGTGTAATGTCACAACTCAAAAATACATTGAAACAATACTGAATGTAATTTATGTGATAATGATGATAGACTTTTCTAAACAAGGCATTGTTTAATAATTTCAGGTAAACTGAAACACCATCAGCAAAAGTTTCTAAACAGTAATAATGGAAAATGTTATATATAACAAAACTAAAATCTTTACAAGATGGTTTTGGGAACACGGTAGGTAGTTTGTTGCTGATCCAAGATGGTATACCAGCTTGATCATGATTGCTAGATCAGCGTGGACCAGCTAAAGTGTAACCCATTAACTACCATATTAATATTTATTTATTTTATTTAGTGATTTATCAGACGCTTTTATCCAACGTATTTATAAAAGTAATATAATCATAATAATATGTTTCATTAATTAATTTGTGTTTGCTGAGATCAAATAGATGTTGAAGCATTACCTGATGATTTCAGGCAGAATGACAAAATACCCCTATGGCAGTTATTCAAGACGCAATCAATCACAAAACTTATTTTATCTCACTCACAAACTCATTTGTCTTGCCCTATAGTTAATTTTCTGGACTCTAAAGGCCATTATTTAAGGATCAACTTTCAATAGCAAGTTAAAGAAGGTGCTATTGTACTCCTGGCTTAAGCTAACATAATTTCATACGCTTTATTTATTCTTTAACAACGGTTGCTTCTTCTTTGTCTTGTTTATGAGTAGTATTATTAATAGGACGTTTCTGAAGGAATGTCCTCAATGGCTGAAGTCTGCAGATGAGGGGGATTCACGCCTTTCAGGTTGCTACGCAACAGCCTTCTTCTGGTCTTCTGTCACGCATGTGCGCGGTGCATAGTGGGAGTATCCGAGCGATGCTGAATCAGTGCAGGCGCGGAGGAGCAGAGGAGGCTGGAAATGGTGCAGCATCAACAAGGGAAAAAGGCGCAGCGGTCGTGCCAACGGAATTATGCGGCTCTCCCTAAACTCTCACTTTGAGATTTTACTCCGTCGACAGAAGAACAGGTTAGTAAATTGGATTTTGTTCGCCAAGTTATTTTTAAACAAAGCGCTGCCGTAGCAATCCGCTTGTCCCGTGTATGTTGGCACCTTGTCAATAGTGATGGTGCGCTGGCGCGAGCCGCAGGCTTCCATAGAAGATGCGCGTGCACGCGAAAACCAAATCTGTCACGGTCTTGACAAACTATTAAAGCACTTGGGCCTAAGTCCAAAATATATATATTATATTATTCATGCTTAAGGAAGCTTAAATATATATATTATTCATGCTTAAGGAAAATCATGAATAATGTACATTACATGCCACATAATGCAGGTGTACGTCAACAACTCACGTGGCCTATCAGTGGGAGTTGTAGTTTTTCAAAGATGACAATGTCCAATGCCGTTTATGTCTATTGTCTTATTGAAGAACGACGTATCCCAAAGTGCTTTTCGCTCCGGGTTCGAGCAGGGGAATGTTCTGATGATTGTTAAGCATTGCCCCAATGGACGATGATCAAACGATGGTTTGGGGTCGGGGCTTAGCCTTCAGGGATGCTCATTGGAGCAGAGCGTGTTTGGGTGGGGTCCGTTCAGACGGATCCTTTTGGCACTGCGGAGAAAGCTGAAGATGTCAGGAGACTGAGCCCACGCAGTCCTGAGCTCCTGACATTTAGTTGAGTCTGAATAATGAAGTGCTCTCAGCAAATGCTTTATGCATTCAGAATCTTATTATCATTTTGTTAAAGTGTAGGAGTTTTCCTATGCAAACAGGTGAAGAGCCTGTTGCAAGATTCGACTGAGGTTTATTCTTTGGTCCCTGCACTTGATCTAATAAAGTCAGGTTTATATTTTTATATTTTAATAGACAGTTGTGTAATTGTAGCCTACTGTAAAACATGTTTTGTAAAAAATAAATACTAGCTATGCTTCATACCTTATATACATTGGAAATGTATATTACATAAAACAAGGTTATATTCTTAAAGTAACAAATATTTGTTACAATTGTGTTTTTATTAGTGAAAACTGAAATGTATGAATCTACTTATAAAACTTTTTTTTTGTAATTTGTAAAACGTTTGAAATTTATATAAAAATTTAGTTTATTCTTTTAATATTACAATTTTATTTTGCTTTTTTGAGTAGTTCGATGATTACTGTAAACATTATATGCTTTAGTGACATATATTTAGGGTAGTAAAATGCAGCCACCAAAATGGCATCAGTAGTTTTTACTGTACATTAAACCCCCTAAGTTTGTTGAGAGTCTGGGTGGGGGCCCTGGATCTCAAAAGTGTCAAAAACCCTTTAGTAATGGAAGAAACACTGGTTATTTTACACATTCAATTCAAACTTTTGTTAATTCATCAGTATTGTAATATACATTCTTTGTAGAAATGTTTTATATGAATTTTAAAGCATTTTCCGGTTACTGTACACATATTTTTAGCAATTACATTTCAACATTATGCATTATATTCTAAAATAGGGGGAAAAATTAGCTCAGACAGTTTATGGCATAATTATGAATGCTGAGATGAGATGCCTTCCTTAGGCTGTTTTTAGTGTGTAGAATGAGAGGAGGTATTCCCTGCAATCTTCTGAAATATCTATATGTGTCTCTGCATCAACTCTCTCAGATGAAGGTGACAGAAGTGTTAAGGCGAGAGTCTTTTAATGTGTTTCATCAGTTTTATTTATTAGATCCATTTATAACCCATTGCATTCCTTAGAGAGAAGAATCATTTTAGAAGGTGAGAGTGATTGTGCTTTTGTAACGGTAAACAGATAGAAATGTTTAAAATCTTTTAAGGATTTAACTTAAGCACACACAGAGCCTGCAAATGTAGATACTCATGTGAAAAATAATCTCTTATTTTTCCATTTTACTGAGGTTGATAAGTGACTGTAACATTATGAGAGCATGCTTAAGGGTGTAGTCCAGTTCTGACAGACACGTACTCTGTGTCTGACCGGCTCTTGTGGATACCTGATACTCTGCAGACATTACAGAAATCTCAAAGAGGCAATAGATGATTTACTTCCTTTTCAGGGTCTTTAAATAATTTTAAGACCATCAATGGTTTTTGATTATTTTCAGAATTATATTTTCAACAATGGTTTATGTTTGTGGAAATGAGTGAAATGTATGTCATTTTGGCCACATTTTTACAGTTAATGCCCTTGTATGACCTGAAAACGGGATCATTGATTATGGAAAACAGCCCGGCCCCGGATACTGACCTCCAGAGAAACATATGTCTGTTCCTTCTGGTGTCTGTATTGTATTTTTCATTCTGATGGAAACAATGCTGTTTTTGTTGTCAGTTTGTCACTTATCTTGTCTTGTATTGGGTTTGTGGATAATTATTTTAAGACCTGAAATACTTCTTATTTATTTTCATTTGAGTTTTTTTCCTGAATGTTTATTATTTTTAGGGGGTGTCCATTTTTGATGTCTTAGAATATTTGAATCTTGTTGCAGCTTCCAGCAAACCTTGTTTAAGAAATATTTGTTCAGATTGAAAATCTGTGAATTTTAAACATTTAAACCTGGAGATACTCAGAAAGTTTAGGTTAAAAAATGAAACATAGAAAAGATATGCAAAATAAGTAAGGAATATTTAAGATTTTCATGATTATCATGATTTCATGGTAATTAATGGTAACTAATCAAATACATGCAAAAGAAGAACATACCAAATATCAATTCATACCATACCAATTCTTAAAGAAAATAATTATATTTTGACCCCACTGTGCACTATTATTTTTTTATTATAGCATGCAAGGTTAGCAGTTGTGTGCACACTATGTTGCAGGTAAATGGCAGGGTTTGGTAAAGTGCTGGCCAGCCGATGCAGTGCGTAGGGCCTGGAGTCCACGGCGACGAAAACATGAACGGGGCGGGGGAGCAGGTCGACATCCTGTCCTCCAACTGCTTGGTAAAAGAGCGCTGGAAAGTGGTAAGTGTGTGTCTATATTTAGGTGGGATTGTGTTTGTGGAATAAAGACACCCAAATTGTCTGTTGCCTTTGCAGCCTCATTGCACAGGACAAAACGGTCCACATATGACAACAGATGCTTTCAAATCAACTCAGTCTGGCTTCTCTCCAAAATGTGCCCAAACCATTTGGTTGTGGGCCAGTTCATAGCATTTCTCCTTCAAGCAGATGTCCTTAGAAATGATTTGTGGCTGTTTTACTGTAATAATATCTATGATTGATCCCCAAGTAGCGATCTGACTCATCAGTGACTGACTTAAACTTAATTCTTTCATAACTCATGTGATAAAGCATGTTTAAGCCAAGATTAATCAATATGCTTAGTTCATGCTACTAGGACTGAATTGCTTGGAATTGAATTAAATCTTTCATGTTAAGTAATATGTTCTGTGATTAGAGCAGCTAAAGTAACTCAGCCATTCTGTTTTTGTCATACAATTTATTGCATGTCAACCAAATCCAGCCAGAAAATCCTCAAAAGCTTTTCTGTGAGTTTAGCTGATGTACATGTCCTGTTTAGCAATACAGGAATTTCTCAGATTTTAGATCATGTTTATTTATGATGTACAGTATGCTCTTAAAGATTATTTATTGGCATTGGTTTCAATGAAGAACTTTCCATTGCACAGAAGATTCTCTATGTTGAAAAAAGGTTCTATAGATTATTAAAATGTTCTTCACATTAAGAAAAAAATGGTTCAAGAACTGTTCACTGAAAGGTTATTTGGAGATCCCAAAATGGTTCTTTTATGTCATCGCTGCGAAAACCCCCTTTTGGAACTATTTTTAACAGCATATATTGTGCAAAACCTGCTCTGCGTCGAAAGCATGTGGAATAGATGACACACGAGTTAAATCAATGCTCTGCCATGACTGCCCTTGCTATTGTTTGTGTATTCAGCTGAAGAAGATTGGGGGTGGAGGGTTCGGGGAGATCTATGAGGCCTATGATCTGTTGACACGAGAGAATATGGCTCTTAAGGTGGAATCTGCCCAACAGCCAAAACAAGTGCTAAAGATGGAGGTTGCTGTGCTAAAGAAACTACAAGGTGAGGAGATGAAGCGGATGTGGATATATTTTGTGTCTTTTATCATTCTTACAATTTGATTTAAACATTATGTGGTAATGTTGTTGCTTCTAAAGTTTCTGGCCAGTTTTCAAGATTGTTTTATGCATTTGCCAAAGCTAATTTTTACTCTCATGTATAAATTGACAAGTTCATTTTGGACTATGTTTATGTATATGCTGATACACTACCATTCAAAAGTTTGGGATCAGTAAGATTTTTTTTACTTTTATCCAACAAGGATGCATTAATTTAATCAAAAGGGACAATATTTATAATGCTACGAAAGATTTCTATTTCAAATAAATGCTGTTCCTTTCAACTTTCTATTCATCAAAAATCCTGAAAAAATGTAATCATGGTTTCCATAAACCTATTAAGCAGCACAACTGTTTTAAACATTTATAATAATAATTAAAAGAAACACCAAGATTAACATATTAGAACGATTTCTGAAGGATCATGTGGCACACTGAAGACTGGAGTAATGACTGCTGAAAATTTAGCTTTCCCATTACAGTAATGCATTTTATTTTAAAATATATATGAAAATATTTACTTATTTTCATTTGTAATAATATTTCACAGTATTACTGTTTTTACTGTATTTCTGATTAAATAAATGCAGCTTTGTTGAGCATAAGAGACTAAAAAAATTTACTGACTCCAAACTTTTGAATGATAGTGTACAGTACATATGGATGTATATGCAGTACAGCAGGATGGTGTATGTGAAAAAATATGTGACAGTTTATCTGTTAATATGCCCATCATAATCTTTTTTTTTTTGGAAGTGCTCATATGAAACACACACAGAGACACACTGTGACTTTCATGCCTGTCAAGGCAGTTTGCCTCAGCTGTAGTTCAGACATACCACTGGGAATCTGTAAGGGTAATGAGCGTGAAGAACTGAAGGGAAGTGGGATTACCACACTTTTTCTCTCTCTCCGTCTCTTTTTTGCTGCTTTCTTACTCTCTCATGTCTTCATAACCTTCATGAAGGACGTGCTGGAATTCCAAATGCCACCGCCTCTGTCTCTACCTGCTTGCTGAAATTTGTGTTTTGTATGTGTGAGAATGTGTGTATTCACATATCCATGCAGAAGAGAAAATGTCAGCTGTAATAAATGGGACTTATAAGTAATATCCATGACGTTACTGCTTTAATTTCTTGTGCAGGAAAGAATCATGTTTGCAAATTTATTGGATGTGGAAGAAATGACAAGTTCAATTACGTTGTCATGCAGCTGCAGGTACAGTATTTTTTATATGTTTTTATGCATGTTTGTGTGTGTGTGTGTGCATGTGTGTGAAATCTGATTATCTCTTTCTGTAGGGAAGGAATCTCGCTGATCTCAGGAGGAGTCAGCCTAGAGGGACGTTCAGTATGAGCACGACTCTACGGTTGGGGAAACAGATTCTGGAGTCCATTGAAGCTATTCACTCTGTGGGCTTCCTGCACCGAGACATTAAACCTGTATGTCTTACTGTTGATGTTGATGATATGATCTCTTCCATTCTCTTTCCCAATCCGATTACCTGGCTCCTGCCAGCTAATACTGGTTTCTCTTCTATCCTTAGTCTAATTTTGCCATGGGCCAATTGCCGTCTACCTGTAGGAAATGTTACATGCTGGACTTTGGTTTGGCACGACAGTACACTAATACAAATGGGGAAGTGCGGCCTGTAAGTATTACTTTTGCTTTATTTTCTGGTACAGTCTTTTTCCTTATTTATATTCTCTCAATTACCATTTCTGTTTGTTTTATTTATTTATTTATTTTGAATGGAAATCGCCTAAGCAGCATTTTTTACATTTCCGTTTTGTGCATGTGCAGTTTTTATATTTAGTTGTGATGTTTTATGTTTCAAAAGTTATTTCTAAGGATGCACTGATATTAAAATTAAAATCAAAATCATCTGACCAGATGTATAAATATATATATATATATATATATATATATTTTTGCTTACTGTAAATCTGTAAATATTTAAATATTATAAATATATAAATAATATCATAAGTTATATAAATATCTAATAAATTATATAAATATATCATTTAAATATTATCCATGCAAATGTTTATTGTAAAGGTGCATTATATATATATATATATATATATATATATATATATATATATATATATATTATATTTAATAACAGTGTTATTGACTTATTTTTTTAAAGACTTTAAGTCAGTATTATGTACAGTAGCAACAAAGATAATGTAAAAGCATTGGAAAGGATAGCAATTAATAACGGCCAATAACCAATATGGTACCAAAGTATCATGCATTCTTATTTATTTTATAATTTTTCTTCTATTATTTGCTTTTTACTGATGAATTTTATTATTTGTGTGTTAATTCATTTTTATGTTTCACTTTTCTCAGTTTTGTTTTGCAGTTCTGTTTTGGCTCTCATGTTGAATCGCATGCTCCCCCGCCAAAGATGTTTGTCCCTGTTACCATAGCGACAGTCATATTGTGAGTTTTCCAGAATCTTGAAAATATTCCTTCCTTACCCTCTGAAGGTCTCAGAAATTACACACTCTTCTCTAATGGTTGTGCCTTAAACGCTAAATCCTGAAGCACGGCCCCTTTTGACATAATCACACCCATGCCATACTGACCCATTCCTACAACCTACTATACATACTCCTCTATGTAAGAGTGTCCCTGTATGTGTGCTCAATCAGCCTAGGAATCCCCCAAAAAAGTAAAAAGATCATAAAAGTTTCTAAAACATACAGAATTCAAATCAATTGATTTTTCAATTCAAGTTTATTTGTATAGCTTTTTTTGCGATACAAATCGTTGCAAAGCATCTTTACAGAAAATTAAGTTTCTACAATATATTTAGTGACTGTCAGTTAATGTACATATGGCAGAAATGTACGGAAAAATCGATTAAAGACGTAATCAAACAGACGATGAACACTATTAACAGCAATTATTATATGATGCAATCAAACCTATAGCAAAATGTGGTAGTTCTGTATGTTGTTTCAGGGTTGGCATCATCTGAGGTCCTCTGAGGGGTTGGCATCATCTCTTCTCAGGTGTTCGGTTATCTCAGGTCTTTGTAAGGGCTGGATCCCAGACTGAAGCTTGTGTAAATCAGCAAAAACAGAGAAACAAATAGAGACATAATTAGCATAGCTGCTGTTCCATTCAAGCAAAACTGATTTGTTTAACCCAAGCTAAAGAATAATAATGTGCATTTGATCAGATATAACTGCAGTACAATATTATGAGATGCATTTGAATGCTTGGCCAAAGAGATGTGTCTTTAATCTAGATTTAAACAGAGAGAGAGTGTCCAACACACTCTGTTAACTTAGATAATTTAGAAGTTTCATCTGGTCTTGTTGAGATATTATATAGCGAATTCCTGTCGCTCCACCATCCCTTATATTTCCCTCTCATGTTTGCTTTGTTTTGATTATGTGTTTACTTATTCCAACCTAAGAGTTAAAGTCTCAAATGAAAGTGATATGAATTCTTATTAGAATGAGTTTTTTTATTGCCAGGTATGTTTACACATACAAGGAATTTGTTTTCATGACAGAAGCTCCACAGTGTAAGTCTCTTTTAAATGTTCTGCTTTAGCCCAGGTCGGTGGCTGGGTTCAGAGGGACAGTACGCTATGCTTCCATTAATGCTCATAAAAACAAGGTAAGTTTCAAAGAGGACGCCCACAGACTGCACGCAATCCATTCACTGACTGTCTAAAGCGTATTACACACAAAATTTGGTGAGCGCTTGCTGCATTTGCCAGTTTGAATCTGATTTATTGGCTTTAATGAATCTTAAGTGAGTGATTCTTGGTCAGAATTAGCTACATTAAGAACAATTTTTTTTAAGTTATATTTATGGGCATTTTCTGCCTTTATTGGGACAGGACAGTACAGAGCTGACAGGAAAGCATTGGGTGGAGAGAGAGGGGGGCGGGATCGGCAAAGGGCCTCGAGACGGGAATCAAACTCGGGTCGCCGTGAGCGCAGTTGCGCTGTATGTCGCAACTAACCACGAGGCTATTGGTGCCGACCTATGAACAATTTTTTTAACGAGCATTTTTAAAAATGTTTACTCTTTTTAACAGGAAATGGGTCGTCATGATGATTTGTGGTCATTGTTTTATATGCTGGTGGAGTTTACTGTTGGACAATTACCATGGCGTAAGATAAAAGATAAGGTAAGACACTTGTATCACACTCCCATTAGCCAGTCACTATGAACATAATGGAACTGAAATTAGTGAATTAATCCTCATTGTTTTAAGAGCTTTTGTTTTAAATATTTAAAGCTTTCAGGGTTGTTTTTGCTGTTAATTGTGTCCGTAATGTGCATCTGATGAACAGGAGCAGGTGGGACAGATTAAAGAGCGCTACGAGCACAGGATGCTGTTGAAACATATGCCTGCTGAGTTTCATATCTTCTATGACCATGTGCTGGATTTAGATTACTTCACCAAACCTGATTATCAGGTAAACCATTAATTTTTCAACAAGAATGAATTAACTTAATTAAAAGTGACAAAGACATGTTTAATATTATAAAAATAGTTTTATTTCAAATAAATGCTGTTTTGCAATATAATAAAACAGAAAACAGCTATTTTAAATTGCAATTATGCCACAATATCACTGTTTTTACAGTCTTATAATCAAATAAATGAATGCATAAAATACTTTTAGAAACATTAAAAAATTAAACAGACCATGAACTTTTGAACAAACAATGTATGTAGTTTAAAAATATGTACTTAAGATATAATATATATATATATATAGTTGCTAATGTCAGTATTTGAGAACACCATGAAAGAGAGGGTGATAACAGAAAACGAGCCTTATGACTGGGAAAAATCTGGAACAGATACGGCCCTCCCCACCAGCGCACACACGCTACCACAACAAAACACACGGCAAACTGCTGCCATTGTGGGGTAAGAACATGTACACATGCTCTTACAACAGTATCAGACCATTTGCACAGTGGGGTGGAATTCTGGACTCTGGAGTGACTTTGAAAAGATTTGGCTTTGAATTGTCTCTCTCAGGATGGTGAATGTGACACCGCTACCTGGTGAATTACCGAGGGAAAACACTGATGATGTTCTGCAAGATGAACACCTGAGTGACCAAGAGAACGCTCCACCTGCTTTGATACCCAGCAGGCCTAGCGAACCTGCTCCAGTCCCACCTCCTGGTGAAGGGTGGGATGAAACTGACTTCAACCGTAACAAACTCAGGATCAGCATCAGTAAGGTATTATTTTTAATATATTATGCCAAATTATTAATTATTCACATACATTTTTATGTCTAATTAGTATAAAAACATGATTTTTGATCAGTTGAGTGTTTAATACTGCTGGTCTTCTCAGACGCAAGTAGCAGCAGAGGATGGGGAGGAGCCTGCAGGAGGAGGGAGGTCTGTTTCCCCGGCGAGGGGGGGGGAAGCAGACGCTCAGGCCCGCCCTCCAAGGTACCGGAGAGTCAACAGCCCAGAATCTGACCGCCTGTCTGCTGCAGAGGATAGAGGAGATGCCGCAGATAAACGGTGAGGAGAGCGTGTGCTTGAAAATGTATCGCTCTGTACTTCTGGCTGACATTTAGCTTTTCTAAAGGTCATTTGACCGCATGTGTCTTGTTAGTGAGGAAAGCATGCAAAAGTGGCTTCTGATAAGTTTCTGTTTTGTACTACAGCATTTTGATCTGGCATTTTGAATGGCTTCTGTGAATTTAATAAAAGGAAAGTGCATACTGTTCTTAGTATGGTAACATATGGCATTTTTATGATCAAAACGACTTGGCATGTTAAAGAAACATTTTATTTTCGGAACAGATTAAAATTAAAGACTAAAACAGTTTTTGTTGGATGTAATGTTGCATGATCTTGACGTAACCCTTTTTGTTGAAATTTATGATTGTCTAATCTTTCATTAATTAAATAATTATTAAATGATCTCATATGACTATTAATCAGACTGTGATTATTAGTAATTATAAATTAATAAAGTAATTATAGTTATAGTAAAGTTATGAAGTAATTATAATATAAAAATTACAATATTTAATATAATAAACAATGACCATATTTATTCATTTCTAAACTAATTATTAAATTAAAAAATAAATACATTTGTCACATGACTCTTCAGAAATCATTCTAATATGCAGATTTGGTGCTCAAGAAACATTTCTTATTGTTATCAATGTTGAAGACAGTTGTGCTGCTTAATATTTTTCAGAACGGCATTTATTTGAAATATAATTTTTTTGTAACATTATAAATGTTTTTACTGTCACTTTTGATTTAATCATCCTTGATGAACAAAATATACATATTTAAAGAATGTACTGACCTCATACTTTTGAAGAGTAATGTTCCTACAATTGAAAGTCTGTTGTTAAATGTGTTGTTGTCCAGTTGATTCTGTGTCTTAGCCTTTGTGTGTTTTGTGGCAGCTCTCGTTTGGACATGCTGGGTTCTCCATCCAGGCACATCTACTCTTCCCAGCCTGCTCAAATGCTCTCTTTAGAAGCTGGGCAGGGAGAACGACTGGCCGGTGGCCATCATGATGTCTCTGCAGACGGCGACCAGGAAGCCCACAGCAATGCCTTCATCCGCTCAGTCCCGCTGGCAGAGGAGGAGGACTTTGACAGCAGGGAGTGGGTGATGATTGATAAAGAAACAGAGTTGAAAGACTTCCATCCTGGGGCAGAGCCCACAACCTCAGGCACCACGGATGAGGAACCAGAGGAATTACGCCCCCTTGAGGACCACGAGGAGAGGAGAAGGAGAGGACATATGCACGGGATGGGTGGAGCTGAGGCTGTGGTACGACCCAAAACACAACGTGGGATGATGATTGTAGCAGAGGAGGAGGGGGCAGGACCGAGCCCTGCCCATTCACCTTGTCACTCGTTGCCTCATACCTGCCCAAGAAGGAGGGAGTCAGAGCCGTTCGGACCTGATGGACCGGTAAGGCACACCTGAGTGTGTATGTGTGGACATGTGTGTATGGGTTATCCTGATCACTTAATATGTTTGATGATCTTTAGCTAAAATCATAACAGATTTCTTAATTTTAATTTCTTAAGTCTATTTTGAAATATAGTTTATTGCATTTTATCACATTATCACACACCAGTGGTCTGCAAGTCCATTGTTATTATCAAAGTCAGTGTGAATTTTAGTAGGCAATTCATTTTAATTTTGTAATGTGACATATCTGAGTGGAAAAACTAGATAAACTAGATACAAAGATTGCCATTTCAAAGGAAGAGCAAATAATTTTTTTTATTTCTTATTATTTAGGCCTTTTTAGAATAAAAAAAAGCTTAAATAATAAGTTATTAATAACAAACACAGATTAACAGTTTACAGATTTTGTTTTCTGTTTTTTTTTCATCTGTGTTAATAAACACATAGATGACATTTTCTGGTGTAACAGAATTTCTAGGCAAAAATGAGTGGTTCTAATGATAGACTTTCCAATAAGGATTGACATTATTAAATGCATTAGGTTCAGAATTTATTAATCAAGTTTAATGTGTTATTAATAACAAACACAGATTAACAGTTTACAGATTTTGTTTTCTGTTTTTTTTTTCATCTGTGTTAATAAACACATAGATGACATTTTCTGGTGTAACAGAATTTCTAGGCAAAAATGAGTGGTTCTAATGATAGACTTTCCAATAAGGATTGACATTATTAAATGCATTAGGTTCAGAATTTATTAATCAAGTTTAATGTTAATTTGTACATATGCTACAGTTCAAAGGTTTGAAAAGTAAATATTACAGTAATATTACAACTGTTTTTTTCTGTTTTCTCTTATATTATTTTAAAATGTAATTTATTCTTATGCAAAGCTGAATTTTCAACAGCCATTACTCAGCTTGCTTACTTACCGTACTTCAGCGTCACATGATCCTTTAGAAATCATATTAATATGGCGATGTAGTGCTGAAGAAATAACAAATCGCAAAGAAAATAATTAATTTCTTTCCAAAAAAAAAAAAAAGACCTCAAACATTTGAACGGTATTGTAAAAAATTTTTTGCATTTCAAGTTGTATTTGTTAATGTATTATGAAGGAACAAAAATTAGCAATGAACAAAAGCTAGATTAATAAACAGTAAGAGTATGGTTGTTTATGATACCTAATGCATTAAGATTCTGTTAAGTTTCTGGCATCTTGAAAATCACTATGTGCTAGGTGCTTTATTATGTCTGTGTGTGTTTAGGTTGTGTTAAGGCTGTAGTGTTATGATATACTACTAGCATTTGTTCTTAGCTGCTGAATATTTTTACATAATGACATCACCAGTACAAGAAAGGCACATATAAGCCTCTGATAACTTGTACTGCGAGATAATTAGCATATGTTGTTTGTATGTGAGTCTTTGTGTACACCCATGATTTACGGTATGTGTGTTATTTAATCTTGTGCATTTGTGTTGAGCTGCATGTTTTAGGGTTCTCTGGTTGTATGTGTGTTTGTGTGTGCGCGCCATGCTCAATTCACAGCCAAGCTTAGTTTGCTCATTGGTCATACATGGGTCTGTGTGCACACTTTGGCTCCTTCACAACATCTAAAGCATACATTCACCCGTACGTAAGCTTAAACAAGCCTGTCTTTAGCGTTCAGACAGATGTGGGCTGGTCTTGTCCTCTGAACGAATTACAGCACATCTATGTGTTTGTACCACCCATTTTATATAATGTTTCGTTTATCTCTTGTTTTTTATTGGTGTGTTTTTGTGTGTGCATCACACACAATCTTAGTAAAAAAATCACACACTTTTTTCAATACTTCGCGTTTAAGTTTTTTCTCAGCCTGATTCCTCTGATCCTCCGCTCTTATTGGTCTTTTTCAGTTGGAGGAGGACAGGCCACACCCACATCACTCATTCCCGAGGCCCGCCCATTTGAGAAGACTGGCATCGTACGTGTTTTCCTCCGCTACCATGGACACGGAGCACTTCCCCCATGACCCCGCCCTCGGGGGAGCGGCCATTCAGCGCAGCCGCTCGGCTGAAAGCAGCCCCGCCCACCGACACGCCCATCGCAGACACATGCCCCTTATGCCAGGCAACCCCAGAGCCCGGCATTCAGTACTAAACCTCCCACGCCTACACATACAGCAAATGCTGGCCAAACTTATGAACAAGACATGATTCCCCCACCATCAGCGTACACAGACACATGTGTGATGCCATTTAATAGAAGAGGTGTCCACTTTTATGCCCAAAGATGAACAAAGTTTAGTACGGGCAATAAACTTGGTCTGTGATTGTGAGATTTGTGTGTGTGTGTGTGTGTGTGTGAGCGTATGTGTAAGCGAGATATGAGACGCTCTCCAGCTAAAGTGATTTTTTTTTTATTGGATATTTGAAATTAAAGGGATAGTTAACCTAAAAATTCTAATTCTGTCATCACTCACCCTCATGTTATTTTATCCCTTATGACTTTTGTGGAACAAAATTTCCCAAAAACAGCTCTTCAAAATATCTTCTTCTATGTTCCACAGAAGAAAGAAATTCATACAGGTTTGGAACGACATGATGACATAATTGTCATTTTTGGATGAATTTTCCCTTTAAGCATTTGGGACGATTGGAGAAAGATAAATTATATTGTATTCTCCAAAACAAAGCAATTATGTACTGATGTATTTACTCATAGAGACACTGTACAATACAGTTTTTGTAAAAAAAAGAAAAACACAAAGACAAAAACACATTTTACCTCCATTAAGGATTTTTCATGCAGAGCTGCTGGTGTCTGATGGGACAGGCACTTTGACTAAAGTGACGAGAATATCACTTTTTTGTTTTGTTGTTGCTTAGGCTTCTTAGATTCCATCATCTTCTGTGTAAGAGGAGAGTTGTGATGCAGGCTGGATAGTGTGATTATGTTTTTCAGGGTTGAATGTCATTAAATTACAATGAATGTCGGCCTAAAGCATATACTCAAAAAGAATGCGTTCGCCTGCTGAGTGTTAGTAGAGGACACTAGAAGGACAGTGAGTTCTTGCTAAGCTATTTTTTGCACAGTCTATTCGCATCAATACGACCTCAACACATATAGAACCTGTCAAACACCACAACACACAGCTCCAGGCGGGATATATGGCTTTCCTAAGCAAACATGACAGAATGTGAACTGATGGATCTCTTTATATAGATTCTTATAGCCTTCTTTAGTAGCCGAGAGAAAGCATGGCATTACCCACATACAGTGTGTGTATCCTCACGGGGTTGGACCTGTAAAATAATCTAGTTGCTTGGATCCTCTGGCATTTCAAGGAGAGTATTTTCACTGTATAGAAGAGAAAATGAGTAAACAAAGATGGAGAGGTGTGAGTATTAGGCTTGTATTAAATGCTCTGCATGGCTGAAAGTATGCAGACACATTTCTATTGAATGAAATTGGCTGTTTCAGCTACATCCTTAACTAGCAGGTGCAGAAAATCAACTATACAGCCATACAGCCTCCTTAGACATTTTAAGGTGAATGGCCTTGGTTTAAAAAAAAAAAAATCTTAACAAATGTATGTGGGGTTGGTGTGTGTTCACATACTTTTGGCCATGGAGATTAATTGTGATATCACTTTTGTCTTCCAGATTAGCTATAAAAAGTTATTTAAAGTTTTTCTTTTCTCCACCATAACTATTATCCTTTAGTATTACAGAAACATATGCATATTGCTTTCAGATGATATTAGGTTCCATGTGAACTTAAGCTGTGCTTATCTGAGGGCAAGAAAGTCATAAACACGACATCCTTGGTGTCAAGAAGTGTCTAGTAGGGAGTTGAGAATCGATTAAAGTTCTGGAATAGAGATATATATAAAAAAAGTGCAATAGAGTTTAAGGCAATAGGTGTGTGAAAGGAAGACTGAGCCTCTTTCTTTGGTTTTGTCACATGTACATTAGTGGTTCGATACACATATGCAGATATTTGAACTTAACTATAGTTTATCATTCAGCAAATGAATGTTGCCTTTTTTGTTCCTGGCCATAGACTTGACATGCTACTTCAGTGTTTAAAGTCATAATAGTCAGTCACATAAATTAATGCATAAATAAGCTTTTGCAGAAGTGCAGCATCGTTGTCATAGAAATTAGATCACACATTGTGTCATAACCAGGCATAACGCAATAAACTGACAAGTGTTTTTGTGCTGACCGGCAGTAGCCACAATATAACATTTTGTCGATTACATAGTTTTTATTTCTAGTCCAGAATTAGGCTCTACCCAAAACTGTACATTAGACATCCTATGCTCTGATCAGTGTTATTTTAGTATTTATATACTATTGTAGTAATTATTAATATTTTAAATGAGCTATTTTTTATATTTTAATTTTAGCTTTATTTTTATTCCAGTTTTAGCAATTTTAGTACTTCAAACTCTTTAGTACTTTAAACCTTTTTTTGTTTGTCAAGGTGACATTTCTAACTTTCATTTAAATTTAAGTTTCTCATCTAACTTTTATATTGTGTTTTATTTTAGCTTAATTTCAATGAATGAAAAGTATTTGTAATAGTTTTAGTTTTACTCAATTACAACACTGCATCTGATTGGCTGATTGTGTCACATTTTAATGGACAGACACTTTGGTTGTGCCTGGTTAAGACAGAGTGTTAGATACTTCCTATGAAACATAAAGTAGCATTTACACAATGAAATCTTTGCTTTATCTGTATTGTAAATTCCTCCAGCCTCAGTTCATTTTAGATATACAGATCTGTGGGAGGAAATGAAGATTGATTGTTTATTGGTGTCTTGTTGCACTTGAAATTCATGCTGTAAAAATGCTATATGACTCTGCTGGATATCAGTGCATATGCGAATCTTGCTGAAGATGCCGAGTTTCTTCTTAAACTATAATTTGCCTCGCTGGGCCAACTGCAACAAACACTGGGTGGTGAAAAAACATATGTCTGAATACAAAAATACAGTATTTCATACTGGTTTTGAACTCAGTGTTCATAGCAGTTGGCTTCTGGTGTCTGTGCTGCTTTGGGTGTTTTAATGATTTACACCAATCACTGTTTATCTGGAATAACCAATGTACTGTAATATGTGTGTTCAGAAGAGTTTGTAGTCTGAATTGTGTGAGACAGCTGATCCAAATGTCTTCCTAATGGAGAAGATGAGCACAGACTGAATGACTATACACAGAGACACAAAAGCTCAGCTGAAACTGAGCTTTTTTTTTTTTTTGGTTACACAGGATAATAGTAAGCAAATAGATTTCTTCATATCACATACACTACAGTACAAAATTTTGGGGTCTGTGATATTTAATCAAAAACACAATAAAAACAGTAGAATTGTAAAATATTATTACAATTGAAAATATTTTTTTCTATTTGAATATACTGTAAAATGTCATTTATTCCTATGATGGCAAAGTTTAATTTTCAGACTTCAGTATCACGTGATCCTTTAGAAATGATTCTGATTTGGCCCTCAAGATATTTTCTTCTTATAGAAATTATTTTAAAAAGAGTTGCATGCATAAAATGTTTGTAAAAACTGTGATCGGTGATTTTTTGATGAATATAAAGTAAACAAAACAAACAAGCAGCATTTAAATAGAAACCTTTTATAACATTAGAAATGCCTTTACTGTCACGTTTGACCAATGTAATACATCCTTGCTGAATAAAAATATTAATTTCTTTAAAATATGTATCTTACTGACCCCAGAATTTTGAAAACTAGTGAATATGCACATTCTATCACATTCAAATCTTGAAAAGACAAATATCTTGTTATTGGCCTGTTATTTAAATTCTGAAAATTTCTTATGAAGAAAATAATTTCCCAGGAAATGTAGTGTTTCCAAGCTGGTGAAGATTTAAACAGTGCCAGTGAGTATAATGTGAGGTAACATGTTCAGATAGTTTGAGGAAGGTTAGAGGAAGTTTCACAAATGTCTTCTCTGCTTTACTGAGAGACTAAATGATGTTGTTCATTACTTTTGAATCTAAATGGTGTTCCATGTAGTACCATATTTTATGCTAAACTCAATATTCACTCAAGCTGAACGGCTTGTCAGCTTCATGCAATTGAACATTCATGACCTCTCACATTCTCTGTCTCTAACTGGGTCAAACTTGAGCTTGTCAAAACTCCCCAGAGAAAAACCTTGAGCTCTGAGCAATGTACAACAGCGTTTAGCAACATCTGTTTGTATTGAAAAAAAGTTAATTTGTATTCTTTTATGTATTTAATAATGTATTGAGAAAAACCTAAAACCATGTAGGTGGCTTTTCACAGATCAGTATTGTTATGAATCAATTTTAATCAATTTTATGAATCAAAATTTATATCATACGCTGAACCTTTTATTACAAAAAAAAAAGTTACTCATCAGCTGATCCCAGACCTGCTCATAGAAGCATTACATGTGTGAATCAGGGTCAACCTTCAACAGCAAGAGTCTTTCACAAAATAGCTAGTGCAATAAACACTATAGGGACTGTATAGTAGACTTGTAATATGTACAAGCATGTATTTTAGGCTTTTGTAAAATTGTAACTCTTTGGACAGATAGCTGAACATGCTGCTGTACTAACACATTCCTCTTTCTCATCGCTCTGTTTGTGTCCCCTGCTGTACATACTGTTGGCTGAGCACTGTCTTTGAGTCTACACTTGAAATCACAAATGGGCTAAATCATTTAGAAAAAAACAGAGAAAATATTACACTGTAAAATGGATTTTGGTGCCTTTTTAACCATGTATGTCATTCTAAAAAGACAATCCTGCAAAGCTTGTATACAACCAAATCACAAGTAAATAATCTGAAAAATGACTAAAGAGTGGACTCTTCTCTCAAAATTGGGATTTTTAAAAAAATAATTCCTTTCGAACTCTTGTTGTGTAGCCATAAAAAAATTTTTTAACTTATGACTAACTTATGATTATGATACATATATAAGTTTTTATATATAATACAATATATGAAAAGTATATACGGTATATATATATATATATATATATATTTATTTTATTTTTTTTGCTTTATATATTAATAGTAATTTATATATTAATATTAAATATAAGTATCTATAGTATAAGAAAATTATATATATATATATATATATACTGTATAAAATAACGCGATTAAAATATTTTAACGCAGTTAACGCACTGGCCCTGTAATCGGGCCAACGGTTCAAAGGCCCATTCATAAAAGAGAGCCATTTACTTCATTCATGAATGAATCAGTCGTTTGAACGAAAATATCAATGAATGAATAAATGACTCATGAAGACATTTACTGCCACCTGCTGGCAGTTTTAGTTGCTTATATAGAGTATTATTTCTTTTTCTTTTTTTTTTTAATTAAAGGAATAGTTCACCCAAAAAAAATTTAATCATGTAACCATTTGCTCAAACCTGAATGCCTTTTGTGCAACATAAAAGAAGGTATTTTGAAGACTGTTGGTAGCAAAGCTGTTTTGGTTACTAATGACTTCTATTGCATGAACCGAAAAAAAAAAAAAAGAGATGTTTCTCAAATTACCTTCTTTTATGTTCCATAGTTTGTTAGGCCGTTGTAGCCTAAACGTTTACAGTATGTGTAATACATTTTATGTTGAATCAAATAAAATATTTCTTTCTAAAGCCTCTATTTGTAATGCCTACTTAATACTTTCTCATTTAACAGTAAAATTAATTCAAGGAAGTCGTGGCCTAATGGTTAGAGAGTCGGACTCGTAACCCAAAGGTTGCGGGTTCGAGTCTCGTACCGGCAGGTATTGTAGGTGGGAGGAGTGAATATACAGCGCTCTTTCCCACCTTCAATACCACGACTGAGGTTCCCTTGAGCAAGGCATCGAACCCCCAACTGGTCCCTGTGCGCCACAGCAAAAAATGGCTGCCCACTGCTCCGGGTGTGTGTTTACGTTGTGTGTGTGTGTGTTCACTGCTGTGTGTGTGCACTTTGGATGGGATAAATGCAGAGCACTAATTCCGAGTATGGATTACCATACTTGGCCACATGTCACGTCACAAAAAATAAAAAAAAGATGAATTATATCAGGTAATTAATTAGATAAACAATTTTAATCGACTGACAGCCCTAATATATATGTGTGTATATATATATATATAGTAATATAAATATATTGTTTATAAAAGTAGTATATATAGTATAGTATATTAAAGTTACTTTAACTTCATTTAAAAAAATTTAACCCATGCTGTGCTGGTTTTTATATGAACGTTCACTGAACAAATTTAGTTAAACATCTCCAACTCTTTCACCATTAATTCACAAATGCTTTTGCTTGCAGGAGGCTGCAGTGGCTGAACCTTCGCTTTCAACCTCTGAGACGCGTCTGAAGCAAGTCGACTTTGTGTCTGGTGTGTTGATGTTTGACGATCTGAGAGAGGAGGGTGTGAAGACTGGAGGCTCAGGCAGTGATGGAAGCCCTCGCAGTAGTGAGGGAAGTCCAGAGGGTGCTGCATCCACCCTGCTCGCCCCAGCCCACCGGGACCACGACCAGGAAGAGGGCTCACGCACACTGGTGCTTGTGTCTGCTGGTAATGGGCAGGTTTCGCCTGGTGACGGGCAGGGAACTCTCGCCGCATTGACACCGCAGGGCGAGCGACCCGTGCCGGATGAATCCGAACCTGGTACTCTTTCCTCTATCTTTAGGTCAGAGCCCAGGCCTATTGTCATGACATCTGCAGCTGTGATCACCAGTGGCTCTTCCTCGCCGCCGTTCACCAAGGTGGAACGCACTTTCATCCACATCGCTGAGACGACGCATCTCAATGTCATGACAGCCAGACACCGTTGTCCTGGACTGGATGAGATGATTTCTACTAAGCGTGAGGAGACGGGTGGAAAGAAAGAGAGAGAAAGGGTCAGTGAACGAGAGCAAAAGGAAAGTGGGGGGATTACATTAGAAAGAGGCGAGGATGAGGGGAAAAAGGATGAGAGTGAAGCTGAAGAAAAAGTAAAGAAGAGTAACAGAGAGGAAGCAGAGGCTTTGTTTTTAGCCGAGTCACATGACCAGCTAGAGACTACAGTTATTGAGGAAGAAGTCTCCAAAGAAGCCAAACTGGAAGTCAGACCAGAGGGTGTCCCACCAGAAGTAGACAAGCAAAAGGAACAGGAACAGGAAGAGTGTCCATCACTAAAACCTGAACAAAACAGAGATGCAGAGGTGGAGGATGAGAAGGATATGTCTCCACCGGAGGCGGAGTCACCTGATAGAAAGCCACTCCCACAGAGGCGGAGCCGTATCCCTGTGCTGATGTCAGAAGAGGAAACAGGCTCAGACAAGTCATCGCAGACGAGTCAAGAGCAGTTTCAGAGAACTCGCAAAAGCCGACAACAACAGCTGGCTCGTCTTGTCCTGGAGCGCAAACAAACCCACCTGATTCGCTCTCGCTCCGCCTCCTCGCACTCCCCGACACTCTCAACCACTGCATCTGAAGATGAAACCCACCAATCAGATGACTCAGCGAGAGGAGAGAGAGGAGCAGATGGGAACATTAAGAGCAGGATCCCTCGTCCAGTCACACCTATCAGGGGGTCATCCGACCAACTGGGCGGCACGACCCTTCCACAAACCCAGAGATCTGTGTCTTTCATTCAATATAGGTGGGTGGAGCAGAATTTCAGCTTAAATGTTATTCATTTGAATCTACACTACCAGTCAAAGTTTGGACACACTGAATTTAGTTTATTTATAGTTTTTTATTTACATTTATATATCTATATTTATTATGTTTTTAGAAAGCCAAACAGTTTTAATAATAGTAATAATATATTATTATTAATATTCTTGTTCTTGATATTAATATTAATATCTCTACAACAGAAATACATTACTATTGTAATACAACTACACTGTAAAATAAAAAAGTAAAATTTAATAATAATATTTATATTTTAATTTCTTCACTTGCATGAATTAAACCCATAAACTTGTATATTCTGACCTTTACATTTCTGTGACAACAGGTTTACAAACGATTCCCATTACAAATCTAGTAAAATGCTGTAATCACCTGTCCACAAAATTATGTAAAAGTGAAAATAAAGCGCACATAGCATTCCTAAATGCATGTTAAACCCACAGCACATGCAAAGACAGAGTGTGCCACATTTTCTGTTAACCGCTTCATTTTGAGATACTGAAAATATCATAGGGCCCTTGTGTGTAAATAAACAGTGCTGCACTTCACTCTGAAACATGCAGCAACAGACTCTATCATTATTTAATTAAAAGATGAATTATATCAGGTAATTAATTAGATAAACAATTTTAATCGACTGACAGCCCTAATATATATGTGTGTATATATATATATATAGTAATATAAATATATTGTTTATAAAAGTATATAAAGTATATATAGTATAGTATATTAAAGTTACTTTAACTTCATTTAAAAAAATTTAAACCATGCTGTGCTGGTTTTTATATGAACGTTCACTGAACAAATTTAGTTAAACATCTCCAACTCTTTCACCATTAATTCACAAATGCTTTTGCTTGCAGGAGGCTGCAGTGGCTGAACCTTCGCTTTCAACCTCTGAGACGCGTCTGAAGCAAGTCGACTTTGTGTCTGGTGTGTTGATGTTTGACGATCTGAGAGAGGAGGGTGTGAAGACTGGAGGCTCAGGCAGTGATGGAAGCCCTCGCAGTAGTGAGGGAAGTCCAGAGGGTGCTGCATCCACCCTGCTCGCCCCAGCCCACCGGGACCACGACCAGGAAGAGGGCTCACGCACACTGGTGCTTGTGTCTGCTGGTAATGGGCAGGTTTCGCCTGGTGACGGGCAGGGAACTCTCGCCGCATTGACACCGCAGGGCGAGCGACCCGTGCCGGATGAATCCGAACCTGGTACTCTTTCCTCTATCTTTAGGTCAGAGCCCAGGCCTATTGTCATGACATCTGCAGCTGTGATCACCAGTGGCTCTTCCTCGCCGCCGTTCACCAAGGTGGAACGCACTTTCATCCACATCTCTGAGACGACGCATCTCAATGTCATGACAGCCAGACACCGTTGTCCTGGACTGGATGAGATGATTTCTACTAAGCGTGAGGAGACGGGTGGAAAGAAAGAGAGAGAAAGGGTCAGTGAACGAGAGCAAAAGGAAAGTGGGGGGATTACATTAGAAAGAGGCGAGGATGAGGGGAAAAAGGATGAGAGTGAAGCTGAAGAAAAAGTAAAGAAGAGTAACAGAGAGGAAGCAGAGGCTTTGTTTTTAGCCGAGTCACATGACCAGCTAGAGACTACAGTTATTGAGGAAGAAGTCTCCAAAGAAGCCAAACTGGAAGTCAGACCAGAGGGTGTCCCACCAGAAGTAGACAAGCAAAAGGAACAGGAACAGGAAGAGTGTCCATCACTAAAACCTGAACAAAACAGAGATGCAGAGGTGGAGGATGAGAAGGATATGTCTCCACCGGAGGCGGAGTCACCTGATAGAAAGCCACTCCCACAGAGGCGGAGCCGTATCCCTGTGCTGATGTCAGAAGAGGAAACAGGCTCAGACAAGTCATCGCAGACGAGTCAAGAGCAGTTTCAGAGAACTCGCAAAAGCCGACAACAACAGCTGGCTCGTCTTGTCCTGGAGCGCAAACAAACCCACCTGATTCGCTCTCGCTCCGCCTCCTCGCACTCCCCGACACTCTCAACCACTGCATCTGAAGATGAAACCCACCAATCAGATGACTCAGCGAGAGGAGAGAGAGGAGCAGATGGGAAAATTAGGAGCAGGATCCCTCGTCCAGTCACACCTATCAGGGGGTCATCCGACCAACTGGGCGGCACGACCCTTCCACAAACCCAGAGATCTGTGTCTTTCATTCAATATAGGTGGGTGGAGCAGAATTTCAGCTTAAATGTTATTCATTTGAATCTACACTACCAGTCAAAGTTTGGACACACTGAATTTAGTTTATTTATAGTTTTTTATTTACATTTATATATCTATATTTATTATGTTTTTAGAAAGCCAAACAGTTTTAATAATAGTAATAATATATTATTATTAATATTCTTGTTCTTGATATTAATATTAATATCTCTACAACAGAAATACATTACTATTGTAATACAACTACACTGTAAAATAAAAAAGTAAAATTTAATAATAATATTTATATTTTAATTTCTTCACTTGCATGAATTAAACCCATAAACTTGTATATTCTGACCTTTACATTTCTGTGACAACAGGTTTACAAACGATTCCCATTACAAATCTAGTAAAATGCTGTAATCACCTGTCCACAAAATTATGTAAAAGTGAAAATAAAGCGCACATAGCATTCCTAAATGCATGTTAAACCCACAGCACATGCAAAGACAGAGTGTGCCACATTTTCTGTTAACCGCTTGTCTGCTAAATTTATTTGTAACCGGATCCCGGACCACCGGCATGCATTTGGAAATGCTCGTCCGCTTCTGTTTATTGTCTTTTGCAAAACTGTAGATAATGTAAGCAGTACTTTTGGGAAAAAAATTAAGTTATATTTTTGTTCCAAAAAACATTAATGGATGAAAATAAGACTAACTTAGTTGCATTTGTCTCAGTCTCAGACTGAAAATGCACCATTCTGATCTGTATGCAAACTTTACAGTTCAAAGAACACTTGAGGAAGCTGAATGAAGGTCGTAGAGAACATGAAAGCTTCTCAAAAATCTGACACACCAAGGAGGATAAAGCAGCAGGAACCAATAATGTGAGTTGAAGCAGCATGTGTGGGGTTTGTAAATGTGCTCTAGGATGTTATTTTATGCAGTACTGCTACTCCTGAGTGTCCACAGCATGTGTTCAAAGGCTGTGGAGTTTAAATGACTAAGGTGCTATCAAAGAGTGTTTCTTCATGCTTGCTCTTGTCATTGGTGTTCTTTTCCATCCTGTGCTTGGATTAAAACCCGAACATCCATGAAGATTGTCACATCAACGGAAGAGAAAAATGTCCTAGTGCACACTAGCCAGTGTTATTTGTGAGTTATCTTAAAGGAAGCGCTTCATTTGGACCATGCACACTGCAGAACCATTGCATGCTGTTGTTTGGATGAAATAACAGGAAAATACTCTGCGGTATATTCCAGAATGTTCCATCTGCAGAGAACTCAGAAGACTCTCTCTGCTCTTAATACCAACAAGATATGAGGAAAGACATCTCCTCCTGGTCATCTCTCTTCAGTGTGTTGCTTTGAGATAGAGAGAATTTGCATGAATGTGTTTCATGAATCACGGTTGACTAACGTATACTAAGGAGAAACCTTTCTGAGTTATACAATTAAAAATTATTGCAAATTATCAATGATGCCATTCAATAAACTCAAGTTCCATCACTTTTTTCGGTTGATGGTTTGTGTCATTCTTTCCAGAAAAACTCCAGTGGATGTTCTGCATAGGGAATCCGCATGTACTTATATGTGGTATAAGTATAAGAATTAAGTATCATCTGCATAAAAATGGAGCAATAACAGAAGCTATAGAACACTATGTAATCACCTTATCATAGATCTTAGTTTCCTTCAGACTAGTTTTGGGATAACTTGGGGGATACAATTGGATGTTTCTGTCACCCATGTGACCCTAAAGTTCATTAATAATTGTGGGAATGCAATAGCTGGTTCTAGAAATGTACTACAGTTCAAAAGTTTGGGGTTGGTAAGATTTTAACATGTTTTTTAAAGAAGTCTCTTATGCTCACCAAGACTGCGTTTCCAGTTTTTGATCTGAAATGCTGTTAAAACAGTAGCCGTTTACTATTTTAATATACTTTAAAATGCAATTTATTCCTGTGATGGCAAAGCTGAATTTTTAGCAGTCATTCCTCAGTATTCAATCTCTCATGGTCCTTCAGAAACCATTCTAATATGCTGATTTGTTGAAGTCTAATCTTTGTACAGAACAACTTATTCCAGCACAAACAGTTGTCAAGATCGGATTGGGGCATAAAAAAACTTTCTAAACATTGTCTAATCTTGCCTCTACAGGTTTGGGTTCTATCTGCATGATTCAGATTAATTGAGGACTGAGATAAACCGGTATTATGTAAAGTCAAACATGCTGAGCTAGTGGGATCACTGATTCTTTAATTGGTCGGTTCATTTGGCTGAACTGGTTTTGTGTAATAATTTGATTGTATAATACCTGTCAGTTGCCATTACAGTGATTGCAAATTAACTGCTCGTCATCATACCCCTGTCTGATTATTCTGATTGGGATTTTAGTGTGAAGGGTTTCTACAGCGAATCCCCATGGTGAAATGTCTCTCCCCATTTCCTCTGAGGATTGTACAGCAAGAGCTTTGATGCTAAACTCTAATTCTGCTTGTTATTGTTATCATGACAGTATAGTAGCATGAGAGACATGTACTGTACAGTACATGTTAAAAAATGGACTGTGAAAGCAGAAGTGCATGAACTGACAGAAATAATGTTACTCAACAGTCAAAAACAGCATCTTTCTCTATGGCTGAAGGAGGCAGAGAGGGAGGAAAGATGAAGGGTGTTTGGGGAGGGGCTTCATTTAGACTTTATTTATGAAGTACTGGTCATGCATATGTTCCGATAACCTTCTGTCTATCTTTGACTTTGCTTGTTGAAGTTCTTTACCATCACGACACTCTACAAAGATCATCCGCACACTTTAATAATCAAGCTGCAGAGGTGAGTGTCTTTTCATTCTTGAATTTTTTTTTTAACTGTGTTTGAATTGTGCTGCTAACAGCGCAAAAATAAACTGACATAAAATACATTTATTTTAATCAGCGTGATCACTGTTTTTGAGTTACTTTTTATTTTTACTACTGAATGAATGACTTGACTGGAAGCTGAATAAAGTGTTGATTCATTTGAGGTTATTTTTGGTAGAAAAAAGAAGCAAGTGAAAATGAAATATAAAATAAAAACGAATATATTTAAAGTGTCCACCATTATTTATAAAGAAAATGAAATCATTTCCATCAGGCAAATATTATTCCAAACTGTAATGAAATGTATTAAGACAGGTTGTTTCCATTTGCGATTGAGTCCAGCTGGTGTGTGTCTTCACAGCTGTGCACAGCGTTCAAAGAGTGCTGTACCCCCTATGGTCCATTGCCTGCTATGAGGCTAATGTAGGGTGAACGAATGGACTTAAAAAGAGTTCACAAAGTTTTCAGAGAGCTTAATACAAGGCCCTATTACATCATTGAAGAGGTCTGATTTGCATCACAGATGGTTTCAACCATTTCCTAATTGATTTATCAATTCAAAGTTCAAAAGAACAGCACTTATTTGAAATAAAAAGCTTTTGTAACATTATGAAAGTCTTTACTGTCACTTTTGATCACTTTGCTTGCTGGAAAACATCAATTCCTAAAAAAAATCATACTGACCCCAAACTTTTGTAAATGTCATCAAATCACTTGATATCACTTTATATCAATTATATAATACTGAGGTTTTATTGTCTGTGACATTCCAGGTGACAATGAAGTTTGAGAGCATTCTGGAAGAGACAGATGGGTTTGGGCGATACCAGATTGCACTGGTCTTGCTGATGTATATACCTCGCATCCCAATCCCATGTCACTTCCTGCTGAACAACTTTATAGCCGCCATCCCATCTCACCATTGTAACATCAGCTCTCTGGGCTCTGAGGGAATCTTTGGAAATCTGACTCGGGAGGAGAGACTGACTGTCAGTATTCCAGTGCAGGATGATGGGACTCCTGCTTCCTGTCACATGTTCTCTTATCCTCAATTCCACCTGCTGTCAAACTCCTCCAGCCCCTCAGAGGTTGCTGTAGTCCAGTGCCAGAATGGATGGGAGTATGACAACAGCACATTCATCAGCACTCTCGCCACACAGGTAAAGTCCAGTGACGGTGTATCCTATAGGTCCTTCTCAGCTCTCTCACCACTCACACTTTTTCCTGTTTCTCTCTCTTTATTTTATTTTATTTTTCATCAGTTTGATTTAGTTTGTGAGAAGAGGGGACTGGCCAAAGCATCAGCAACCATATTTTTTGTTGGCGTCATGGCTGGAGCTGTGTTCTTTGGAGTGCTCTGTGACAAGTAAAACCTCCCTTTAGAAACTTTTAGACTTTTAAGACTGAAGTTCTCAGTCGGGTGGTATCCTAAGGTACAAAATCTAAAAGGTTTATCTTTGTACCTTATTTACCCCAAAATACTACATATTTGTATCTTAAAGGTACATATGCCTATGTGTACTTTAAAAGTGTAGATAGTGAGAGAGTGTATTACAGAGAGATTTCAATGAAACATGATCTTATCATGAATGCAGTATTGATGTTCTGCATGCTCTTTGTTCATCTGTGTGTTGTTGTTCAGGTATGGTCGTAGAAGTATGCTGCTGGTGTCTTATGTGTCATCTATAGTGTTCAGTGTTGTTAGTGCTTTCTCAAGCAACTACATCATGTTTGCTGCCTTCCGCTTCCTGACCGGATTCGCACTGACGGGGATCATCAACATATCATTTGTTCTCAGTAAGTCTTTTCTTGAAGCTTAACTGCCTTTATCCTTTATCCAAGACTCAGAGACTTTGAGTCGTTTGTCCAGTCTCAACAATTTACCAATTACAGTCAGTTATGATCATTTGACCGCACTGAGGCTATCAGATGAGAACAAAACTTGAACTGAACTGAGCTGAATAATGACACTATTGTCTTGTGTAGAGCTGCTTATAGCTGAATTTGTTTCATAATAGATTAACTTTACATAGTTATTGAACTGAACTGAATCAACACTGAACAATGTGTCAGTAATGGGTCGCCGTGATTTTGCTAAGTAAGACATGTTCCTGGATCAACATCTTTTGTTGATCCTGTACCAACATTGATGCTCAAAAATATAGTCTAAACCCAATCCCTACCCCTAAACCTAACTCTAACCATAATTTAATCCTAAAATCAGTGTGAAATGATAGCTGATTACCAAGGGTGTAAAAGCACCTAACCCTGATCATAAGCCTAAAACAGATATTTCCTGAAAAGTTATCCCTCAAATCTGATTGGTTAATTGGAATGTTGTTCCTGGATCAACATCCGTGTTGTACTTGGTGAAATCACGGTCACCGTCAGTAATGACACTGTTGTCTTTTTAGAGCTTGTATTTGAATTATTCTCAAATTTGCATGACTGATTCTGTTAAGTTGAAAGTTCCTCTTTGTTACTGGGAAACCATCTGTATTGAAAAAAGCATTATATAAAAAGGTAAAAAGTTGAAATACAAAGTTGCAGTTTTCTAAAAGTTAAATATTAAGTACTAAAAATTGTTTTATTAAAGAACATTATCTTACCCTGGAAAAAGGAAACCATGTAGAATGCGTTTATGTTTGTAGATTTTTTTAAAATCTTTTTGTGAAACATTTTTGTAATGTTTCTGATCTTTAATGATTAAATGTGATCTGTTCTGCAGGTATTGAGTCACTAAAAATTGTTTTATTAAAGAACATTATCTTACCCTGGAAAAAGGAAACCATGTAGAATGCGTTTATGTTTGTAGATTTTTTTGTTGAAACATTTTTGTAATGTTTCTGATCTTTAATGATTAAATGTGATCTGTTCTGCAGGTATTGAGTGGGTGGACACTAAACACCGTACATTTATCGGTGTGTTCGGCAGTATTTC